TTTATCCATATCATTGTGGCAAGAAGAAGATTACCAGGAAGACAAAAGCATATTTAATTAACCAACTTAAGAGTGAACAAAATCCAGTACTATGAGTTCTCCAACAAAGAGAGCAAAGAGAAAAATGCTAAGAAAGATAATCTAGTGGGTCAGAAAAGAACTTCCATAGGATTCTTACAGTGGATACTGAGGGTTCCCCCCCTCCCCCGAAATTGTTTGTTTTAAACCAAATTTATTTTTCTTAACATCTTTATGAAAGAAAAAAAGTTCATTATTCCATATACATATGAACTGAGGTAAAGGGCAGTCATGTGACTTGTTTGAAATTATACAATTAATTCAATGGCTGAACTGTAAACAGAACCTAGGATACCCAACTGCTAGTCTGCTGCTCTAACTAATGGATCATGCTCCCTGCTATGTAATAGGACTGTTTCCTTTAATTACAAATTCTTCATTCACCATCAGATTATCAGCCAGAGGCTTTATCATTAGTTTTGCTCTTCTTGCATTCATGGCATTATTCCAAGAATATGAGATTTCCATGGTAAAAATATAAAGACTGCTTATTGTATCATACCAAGTCTGAAAATTCCAACTTCCTGGCAAGAATACTTCACCGAGCCTGCACTGAATGGCACGTTTATAGGTAGAACTGCAATTTTAACATCCATTTGGGTTGGTTAGCGACTTGAAGAAAATGAATTCTGTTTTTTATAGAATCATTAATATCAGTGTACTTAAAATCTTACATTAGGAAATTCTACAGTCTCATCAGTCAGCAATATTCACATATATGACCTACATGTAAAAGTCCAAAAGACAGCAGATTGTTAAAGGTGCATTTTGGAGCATTTGTCACGCTGGAAAGTGGGATAGGATTAAAATCATGGCATGTTCTTACTTTCTATATTAAATCTATAAAGAAAATTTAATAGAGTTTAAAAAGTAAATATCTGAAAGAGGTGTGCAGTCACTTGTCTTTGAGAAGCACTTTGTGTTTCTTTGGCACATATCACAGCGGCAGTAGTAGCAGCAGCCTTGCCCTTGGTGCTGATTTCTTACTACTCTAAATGTCTCCTCCGAGCCAGAATACACTGGCTGTTGCTGATCATGCTGTGAGACACCTGCACTGGCTACTAGGCTTGTCATGACGCACAAAACCCTACCATCTTCAGCTTGACATTGTGCAAGTTATAATTATTCATCCAAATGAATATGTCAGAGCAGCAGCAGCAGACCTCTCATCAGAGCAAAAGAAAAATACATCAAAACATTATCAACCCAGCAGGAAGACAGGGACCATAAGGAAAATTACCCATTTTTAATATGGATGCCACAAAGCCATGTCTATTATTTTACAAAAGGAAAGGAAAATAAAGATCTTCCAAGTTTAAAGTCCAGAAACATTGAATCCAAAGAAAAAAATGTACAAGAGCAGACAAGGAATGTTTTATTTTGTAAATCAATTATCTGGAACCTACTAACAGTCTCTTAAATATAAGTTTGCTACTAGAATACAATAGTAACATTTATTTTGCTTAAGAACCACAACTGTTTAAAAAATTTTTTAAAGTCTCCACAAGCAGAATTGTTTCCAACAAGTCAATGAAAAAAGGTCAAAAACAGCAGAGAAGTCTGATATTGCTTCTTACTTTTAAAACACATTGCCAGCATTCTTATGATGATTAAAAGACTCACAAGTTCATGCCCCTTGTAACATCACCAAAATACTTACGATGTACAGCTAGACTTTAAAAGAATAGGTATGAAAATTTTCTAAAGTTTAATGGCATGCATAAAAGAAAAACTGAAATCAACCCCTGATCTCCATAAAAGAAGGTGGCACATTCAAATTCTATGAGTGTATACAAAAAATAGGCAAGTGTAAATACAGATTCCTACCTCACACTTAATACTTAAATAACTATGACAAATAAATATGAAAAAGTATAACTTTTGAACAAACTATAGAATATATTTTCAGAACAAGATATGCAATATTTTTCCATTCAAGACCAAAAAAAAGTAGAAGTCACATGAAAGAAAGTGGTAAATGTGACTATATTGAAAGCTAAACTTCGGATTGACAAAATATATCATATACAACATTAAAATACATGACACAGGGAGAAGATACTTAAATCCCAACATAATCAACAAAGAATTTGTATCCAAAATATATAATAGATGCTTTAATAAAAGAAAAAATTTAAATAGGCTAAGGTTACAAACACAGTAATAATGATTTATCATTCTTGATAAAAATTAAGGTCAAACTAAAATCAGACTAAGACTTAAAAGGGATTTGGAAAAGTAGGAATTTCTATGCTTTGCTCGGTAGAAGTATAAATTTATACAACCAATTTGGAAAGGCAATTGGCAATGTTTAGTAATCTCAAAGAGGTGCAATTCCCTACAATTCTGCATTTTCACTTCTAGGCATTACCCACACTAAAAGTCTCACATGTGTAGTCTCACATCTGTACAAAGAAACACGTTAGGATGTTCATTGCAGGGAGAAATTTAGTAAGAAAATTGTGAACAACTTTATCAGTAAGGCAAAAGATAAATTAACTGGCAGATTCATATAATGGTATGATATAAAGCATTTAAAATAAATGTACTACACATGCATGGATCATTGGTAAACCTCGAAACAATGTTGTGTTAAAAAAAAAAGGCAGACTGCAAATGTTATAGAATACGGCATAAAGAAATGTAGCAAAAACACGTGTGGATCGCATTCACATCAATTTCAGGGAAGTGGTTACCTCTAGAAAGGAAGAGGAGGAAAGAAAGAGGAAAGGAGGAGGGAAAAGAGGGGTAAGTCTTAGCTGTTTCAAAACCATTTTATTCCCGAGAGAAAGAAATAGGAAGAGATCTGAAGCAATGTGATAAAATATTAACATCTGTCAAATTTGAGTCGTGGATAAAAAGGTGTACAAATTTTTATCTGTACTTTGCTAAGAATTTTAGTATATTCCGTAACTTAATAACTGTGACATTCTAGTTACTAATAATTAATTCTATTTTCTTGGAGCTAGTACAAAACAGAAAACTTGTATGACCCAATTAAATCTAAAACTTGAATTTTAATTAGTATTACAAACACTTACTCCATACTTATATGTGCAGGGCACTTGAGCTAGTGTTAAGAAGGGACACAACTTTCTTCTAAGATTTTCCAGCCTAGCAGAGTCACAAACTAATGTAGCTAAATGCCAAAATAAGGTAAATTCATAAATTAAAGTCTGGGAAAAACTTGTATGATCATCTACATAAAAAAAAAAAAATCAAAAAACCCTAAGAAACATCAAAAATATATTCTTCAACCTTGGGCTTTGAAAAATATTAAAGTATAATTTAGAGACAGCATATCTGGAAAGAGTTATACAATCTAGGTACAATGTTAACTCATTATCTCATATAAAACAAAGATAAAGCTTACAGAGACAAATAGAACAATGAATATTAAAAAAGAAAGAAGAAAGGTGTAGAATTTATATATAATTTCAATATATATATATATTTTTTTAAGTTTTATTTTTCCTTTATTGATTTGAGAGAGGAAGTGAGAGGGAGAGAGAGAGAAACAGTGATGAGAGATAACATCAATTGGCCGCCTCCTGCATGTCCCCCATTGGGGATTTGGCCCACAACCTGGGCATGTGTCTTGACCGGAAATCAAACTGGCTACCTCTTAGTGCACGGGGTCAATGCTCAACCACTGAGCCATACCAGCCGGAGTAATTCCAATACAATTTTTGAAAAATCAACACAGTATGTCTTATATATTTATAGTATATAACAGAATACCAAGAGCAAATCACAAGGCTTTTCCTCTTCCATATTTTGCTTTTTTCTCAATTTCCATTAAAAGGAGACTTTTGTTGTTGTTTTTAAATAAGAAAATGAGAAAAATAATTTTTGAATATGTATGTATGATTAAAATGACATTTGAATCTTCAAAACACTATTTACATCTTGTTAGGCTTTTAAAAAAAACTAATGTCATACACAGGGCAATTATTTTAAATATTCACAATATAAAATAAAAGCATACATTTTTACTTGAACCTATCAAAATTTCATAACAAAAAGATAGGTGGTCTCTCTTTAGAAAATATTTGTAAAATGTCACTAGGAATATTTTTCTCTTTGCTTAAGAATAGAAATGTTCTCTCTCCTTGCTTTCAACTGACACAATTTACTGATGAAAGAAGGACCATGCCCATCATCATTAGATTGTTCTTTGAACCTAACTGCTGCTATTCTGCCAGATCTTTAGAAATCACGCACATAATGTTGATGATGGTACTACTGATAATCATAGCACCTTGTAACTATATAATGTTACAGTTTACAATGCACTTCTAAATATATTATCTTGTTAGATATCATCAATGTACTGAGAAATTCAATTGACAGGAGCAGGAGAAACAATCTCCTATATTCTTTATTCAAAGTATGAATGTTTCAAAACACATACAAAAAGAAAATTATCTAAGTTCAAGAACAAATGAAGGAGAAACACTTAAATAAAAACTGAGTTGAAATGGCAAGGTTTATATTTTTTAGTCATAACTTACTCTCCTTTGAAGAAAGATTCTCTGATATTATGTCATCAATGTTACAAGTTTTAGCAATCTGAAAAATTTCACCCAATTTTCCACTTACTGCTCACTGCTTTATAAACAGTCCTTTAGAATGTAAATTAAAAAGCAAAATTTCTGTCAACAGAGCTTCTTTATGTTTATCTAAATTGAGGCATAAAGATCTGAAGGCTGAATGGTGTGTTTACGTGTGTGGGTGCGAGTGTGCGTGCATGCGTGTGCAGAGAGAAAATGAACATTAACTACTAGGAAATATGAAAGAAGCACTCTAGAAGTCCTGTTTATAAACAGATGCTTAAAGAAAATAACTTTATAACCTGTAATGACCACTTATGAATAAATCAAATGTGTTTTTAGCTACTTAAAATAAATTTAAGAATGTACCTGTGGTGTCCGGGAAACAGAAAATGAAACAGGAAAATCCACAAAACAATCTGGTGATTCTGCAGGGTACTATGAAAAAGCAAAAAAAAAAAAAAAGGTTATTTTTATTTCTGTGACAATTTCACATAAAGTATTTTAGAAAAACTGATTAGCAGAAGTATTATAAATGCAAATGTATTATATGTAAGTATTTTGATTCTACTATTATAGAGATGTCAAGAACTGATTAGTAGTCAATTCACGTTCAAGAAGTACAAAGTGTGGTGATTTGAAGGTAGCAATGCAATCAGTTTTGAGCAGAGGAATGAATTAAGTTAGCATTAGGTCATCTGCTAATGTGATTTGAGTGGTAAATGACACTGGACCTCAGTTTCTTATCTTTAAAATAAGAGATCGTACTAATTGATATTAGTTTCCTTTCAGTCTAAAATTTAATCTCAAATAGCCTCAGTTACTATTTAAAGAGGTAGTGTCAGCATCAAAAAAGGCACAAAAATACAAATAATTATTAATTATAAAAAAGTATTTTCCACAATTAAGCAATTACTTATTGTAACAAAATAACTAAAAATAAAAAATAAAATGCTTTATTAAGGAAAACCAAAAGTAATAATTTTAAGCCAGAAAAACATTTTCATGGTTGATGAATAGAAAACTGATTCAACAGTTTTATATAAAAAGTAATAGTCATTAGGACAAATCAGGTTTCTAATCTGACAAAGACAAAATGTAATTTTTCTTAAAATTAATTTTTTTATTAGAGAAATGTACTACATGATTTCTGTAAATGCAATTCTGGATTTTTCAAAGTTGCATGTAATTGAAAAAATACTAATTTCTTTCCATTAAAAAGCTAAATTTACTCAAAGAAAATTAGTTTTAGTAAAACTCCTTTCTCATTTGACAGAATGTTTAAAATAAGTTTTAGACTCACTTTTCTCAATTTATTTTTCTCTACTTTACTGAATAAAGCAAAAAGGGACAAACATCATTACTATAGTTTTTTTTAAAAAGATCAGCCCACTGACATCAATGTTCTGAAATGAATTGACATTTAGTTATAATGATCCATTGACTGAAAAGAAACTTACTGCAGACTCCAAGTAATGGTATCTGGCTACGTAGAACTGACAACACAAAGCAAACATACAGGAAACCATATAAAAATATAACTAAGCTCTACCTTGGGAGAAAAAAAATGAAGGCCAGGCTGAAATTAAGGAGGGGGCTCTATTTCAGACAATTAAAATATCAGATGATGTATTTAAGAGTGTAACTGCTGTAATCACTGGAAAAACAATTTGTATGTCATTTTTATAAGTCATGTGATTATCTCAAAGTAATCAGCGATAAAGCAGGCAGACTTCAGTTCTTGCCGGTTTTCAGTTGGCAAACTAATCTGTGTGATCTTGGACAAGCCAGTAAACTGTTTTATAAGTAAAAAGGATGAAACTCAATTGAAAGTGTTATAAAATCTCCTTTCCCTCTAAAATGTTAACAGTCCATAAAACTAATAATGCACACTTGAAACCTCCATGGGTCAAGAATGGAATATTTAGTTTCCTTTGACTTACTGTTTTTTATCTCCCGCTGATGCTGACAATGAATAGTATCAACTCTCTAACTTAAAGAAGCAATCTGAGCAAGAATGTTTACTGTATTTAGAATAGATAAACCAAATAAAGTACCTATAATTTTGGAAGTCACTAAGTGTATACAACTCAGTATGTTAAAAGAGAATATGATCTTATATTTAAGTAGGACTCAGTACAGTAAATGGTACATATGTACTGACATAGAGATCCAATAGTTGAACAAAAAAGCAGGTTATAATAAATATAATATGATCCCACATATATAAATGTGGGATAGTTTCTAAGATAAATGTCCTTTAAATATATTCTATGTGTTATTATGCAAACATATAAACATAAATTAGACTGATCTATTTGCAGGTGGCATTACTGTATATCTATTATAAGTTAAATGCACATATATAGTATGTGTTAATTATATTCACATTTACTATCAATTTTATTTATATAATAAATTTTACATAACTGCACAGAACCTATAAAGCACAAATTTATATACTTGTGGATAATTTAATGTGAATTATAAAGTAGTATCTTAGATATTCATAGTCAGAATCATCTGTATTATACTACTAACTACAATAGAAATAACTAAAAATAATATTGTAAAATAACTACCAAAATTCGGAGACTACTTTCCAAAAGTTTCATTTTAGAAGTATAATTAACAATAAAAGCTCCACATAAAGGAATAGTAATTGAAAAAGAAATACAGTAATTATTTTAAATTAAAATATAGTTTAAAAAATCTCACTTGAAACAATTCAGTCAAATCAATAACTATAACATAATACAATTATAAAAGTATAAAAGTATATATTTTTGTCACATGCAATATATTTAAACTCCAATATAGTTCTAAGAAAAATTTTAATCCAAACTGTTCTGTGATTGGACCTTCTAGAGGCTCCCTAAATGAATACATACAAATTGCAGAGTACAAAAACGGCCGTCAGAGACAGAGTGCTCAGTCTCTGGTGCACATCTGTGATTTGCTTTTCAAGTAGTTCTAATCTTGGCCAAAGCTGAGGAAGCTCTAGGCTACTTCTTTTTTCAAGGAAAGATAATAATTGCATCTCAAAGTTCAGGATATAATGTAAGTATTGCATAAAAATACACCTATAAAAACAGCAAAGTTAAACTGTTTCCCTTATCATATTTTGTTTTATTTATATATTTATTTTTAATGGGGGCATGTAGTAAAAATTGGTACTGTTTTCTTTTAAGGTTTTTAGAGACAGTGAGGGGAGAGGCAGAATTGCAAGTATGCATACCAGAATAAACATAAACTAATTAATTTCTTTACTACATATACATATATACATAAAAGGCTTGTATATTTACAAAATAAGCCTGCTTTAAGATTTGTTAAAAAAAAAAAAACCAGCTTAACCCTTTAAAATTTGGTTTGGATTAAGATTTCTGCATTATGCACTTTTAACACAGTTTCAGCTATCACTACTTTTAACTGACAATCCCGAACCCAAATATTCCTAGAAAAGAAATGATAACATTTAAGAGAGAATTTGGGTCTGTCTCTATGAAAACTGAACCAAATGGACAATTAAAGACTCTAGTAAAGCATACTAACATAAGATTCATTCAGTTCCACTCTGTCTTTTAAAAAAGAAAACATAAACAAAACATTTTTTTCTTCCTAATTTCTTCCCAACTCAAATAAAGCTATCTCTTCTCTCTTGCCAGGGCATCCATGATAATGTTTCACAGCTACCGATACTGCAAAAACTGACACATGAAAATATTCTCCAAAGAAATACCAAAAGTGTTACCTTATCGACCTTGTAAAGACATAAGGAAAGGGAACAGACTAGTAGCTACATCCTTGCTCTCAATACTACCAATAACATCACTAACTGGAATTAATAATAAAATCTTGTAGGTATAGATAGATATGGGCAGTGTCGACTTAAAGCATTATCTCTTCAATAAATAGAAATTCTTGCAAAAATTAGGCTATTAAAAAAAACTAGAATCAAGACAGGATATATTTAACATCTTTCATTTTAACATTTTCATAGCTGCAAAGAACTTTTATCAATGTACAAATTATAAACAAATAAAGCTTTGAAGGAAATGAAAGAACCCTAGCCACTGACAGTATGTGACCTTCGGAAAGATAGAGGCAGTTTTCTCCCTGGTCTTAAAAAAAGCACACCTTTAAAAATTAAATGAGAAAATAATTTATTTTTATTTTAACCAAAATATCCATGTAACTTATTTTACAAATAAGATTTCTAGCCCACTAATCTTTTTAGCACTTATCACATGAGTCTTAAAATTATACCTAAACATTCTGTGTGAGAAAAAGAGAGAATGAGCAATTTCTCAACTTGTCTGATATAGAGACACTATAAGATATCAACTTTTCTGTGTCACCCAGTACAGCTTTATATATTAATTCTCTCTCATGGAAAGCTTAAATGCCAGGCACATTTTTAAAAAGGACAAACACAATTGATCTTTTCATCACTACAATCTTCTGAAATAGAGTTGATTGATGACTCCTGGGAACAATAAAAAAAAGATGTCCTGGTTTTCTCAAATTCTAATGTTTCCCTAGTGATTACTAAATAAATGATTAAAATGTTGAACTTGCTTAATCTACTTATTTCTCAAAATTCACAATCTAGAACTAAGAAATAAAGATGAAGCAGCTGTTTTGTGCCAATAAATCAATGAGCAGTTATAGATCACTCACTAACCTGTAAAGGCCCTATAAATAGAGGCATAACCTTGGCAGATTCTTAAAATAACAGAAGAAAGAAAAATCCAGCCAAAACAAATAATAGAAAACATGCATATGTGTGTGTCTGTGTTTGAGGGTTGGGAGTGGGTTAGAAATAAGAACTACAAAGGTAATTCACAGTAAGAATTAAAGACAAAAGACTTTCAGTAGAGCTTTACTTGGGATAGTAGAAGCTTCCAAGTCTTTTATACTGGATGTTACAAAAACAACATTTTGGTACTTTGAGGCTGCTGAATCTTATTGCAATATTCCTTTTTTATAGTCTATATTTTGATCAAATTTGAACTAAAATAGTGACATGAAATTATATCTAGGCTTTTGGAAACCTGGTGAATTTTCTTTGAGGCTTTCCAAAATAATTTTTTTAAGTACTATATATATATATATATATATATATATTTTAGAAGCAGATAGCACTTCTTTTCATTGAAAACATTCATAAAGGTCATTTCACAAAGTATTTCCAGACCACAATAACAGTTTAACACATACCTTTGCCTTCAACTTGAGAGTGATTAGATGCTCTCTACCAGAAGCATCTTCAGCTTTTAACTTTATGGTATTGAAGCAAGAATTCGCATATACAAGTCTGGTGAGTAGAAGAGAATAAAAAATGATCACACTGGGGAAGGCAGGACTGGGGGGAGGGGTGGAGAATGGTAGGATTCAAAATGAAAATATTTGCTATATTCCTATTAATCCATTACAAAATTAATCAGAGGGATTTCTGCATGCCAGCCCTTTATACTGCTATATAGATTTACTGCCGTTAATACACCAGCCTAGTGCTTAATGCAGTCATAGATCTCTGGATTATTTACAATGTGTGTCAAGGCTCATGCTGTGGTCAGTGAGCACTATGTTTCGGTTTTCCATCACTGGAACCTTTGGCATACACAGCATGTTCCTGTCAGCCTCTACTTATGTACACATTAAACTTCCTGTCAAACTCTTTGATCCATTTCTGTAGTTTCATACAGTATGAGACTTTTATGCTTCCTTTATTTGTTTTCTCCTCGATGAACTTTTCCTTTATTATCAATAATATTGCTCTGTACAAAAATCTGGCTGATATTAGTTCATATACTCAAATTGATCCTCCAAGGAAAATGCTGTATAAGCACAGGTACAGCCTGATCTCCTAACTATAAATTTTCTTTTTGTGCGATATATAGCTTCTGACACTTAACCTGGGCATGTACTCAAGATGACTAATAATTTAAACATATAGCACAAGCACAGTTGTTTTGGCTTTAAGTTGCTCTAAATGCATGAATTTTCTACAACGGAAACCAATACCCTTTGAAATATATCATTCTGTAAAACTATGGTCCCTTGAGTAGCATAAGCTACTGCCAAAATTGTTCAGATTTAGTAGTATATTTACTAGTGAACTGGGCATGTGGATATTTTTTGACATTTTTACAATACTATTCTCTTGTAAAGATAAAAAGTAGCCTAAGAGTATTGCACAACTTATCACCCAGACTGATGGTAAGACCCATTAGAGTTCAGAACTAACATTAGCCTTCTAACCCAGGAAACATTTTTTAACATCACTATATGCTGTTTAGTCACTGGCCGGGTATAGTGGTGAAAGTGGGTCAATTTCAAAAATGCTGGGCAACAAAGTTGTGGAACACTGTTTGTAATGAAAAATAGATTTAAATCTGAAAAAGACATCTTCAACAATAGACTAAAAGATAAAACAATCTTTATCAACAGAAGGAATGTTCATCATAATCTATAAAGAGTCTAGGGTCTTAGAAAACAAAAGTAAAATTATTCTAGAAAAAATATTAATTTACATAAAAATATCCATGATTTAAATATAAATATTTACTCATTAATCATTAATTTCTTTCAGCTATCTCTGTAAGCATCTCAAATTCCCTCTCCCCCCAAAATTCAGAACATGGAACTTTATCACACATTTTATCAATACAACTCTAAGTTCAGAGATATGGGCACCTAATCCTTTGAAAACATCAACACCTCAGATTCAAGATGCTGATATCAGCACATTCATTTATGTCCTCTCTCGACTCACTTAAACAGAGGTGGGGAAAAAAGACACTTTTAAATATAAATATACCCAGAATTACAAAAAGAACAAGAAGGAAATAGCATCAACTAAAGCAAATTTTCAACAAATTTTATAAAAATAAAAAGTGGTTTGAAGAACACTGGTGAACAAAACTTACATTAGAAGACAGAAAAAGAAGGTTCCAGGAGAGAGATCGTTAGAAGAAAGAAACAAAGGAGGGTGGGGGGGAGAGGAAGTCTGTGGAATAGAGGGTATGACATATACAAGGAGAAATTAAGAAAATGTTAAAAATAAAAAAGAAAATGAAACCAAAATGGGAAGAGATTATAAACTAAATTATAAACAATGAAGCTATGAAAAAATGGTAATTGTTCTACCATTAACTTTTCAATGAAGAATATTTATACAGTCATAAAAAAATCAAACTTCTTACTAATTACAATTTTTAAAATCCAACAACAGACAAAGCTAAAAGAATTATAGCTACAGAAACTAATGTAAATATATTTCATCATTGCAAGAGATGACAGAAATTGAGAGGTAGAAAGGGGAAAGAGATGAGGAAGGAAGATTAGGAACACTAAAATTTGTAATTGCTAATTTGAGAGTAAAAGACACACATCATTCATTGAATGTCCATAAAAGAAGTTTAAGAAATATTAACCCTAAGAAAAGAATAAAATAATAATAAGGATGAGAGATGATAGTACAGAAGCTAAATCCTTTCTAATTATAGTAATTAATACGTAATTCCTAAAACTAATAAATCAAGCAATATTGAATACAGGCATGTTATTTAAAAATATGCAAGTTATAAGTATGAATATTTCAGAGTGTCTCAAAGAACAGGACTGGAGATGAGAAACGGTGTGGGAAAAGGCTGCTGCTTTTCTTTCTAAGCCTTAAATAGTTTATAACCATGAGGAATATAAACAAAGAGAGCAAGAAGGGTGGGGAGAGAAAAAAAACAACAACTAAATCACCAACTATTTTTCGTACTTCGCATTTCTGCTCCTTACCTAGATGTTCAAAATCATTATTGAACATCTATAAAATTAGAAAGAAATAAACATTCTGTCTTTTGTTTCCAATCACACCAACAAAAGATTATCGTCTTTCTCCAAAGTTTAAGACATGGAGAGAATGCATTAGAGAAAAATGTCACACTGAAAACATGGCCTTTCATTCAAAACAGTTAAGATTAATTTTATTAAACTTTAGAAGTCAAATAAAACAGTAAAAACATTTATAATTTTACGTTCATCTCAGCCTAGTCATTTAAAAGTAAACATTTTACCCATGTTGATTTCTGTGTACTATGTTTCTGGGACAAGGAGAAATCTTATGATGATTATTAGCACCTTGAGTACACATGACGTAGACTCCCACAAGTCCTCTAGTATTTCTTCTCACCTTCTTCCTTTTGGTAATAGAATCCCTGCTTCCATAGCACCCCCATCTACACCAAGTTTTAGCAGGGTACACTTCATTCAGCTAGCAACCCTTCCTGGCTGCCCTTTCGGATATCAATATTATCACTAAATTTTGGCCAGTGAACTGCAAACAAAGGTGATTGATATGTTCATCTTTTGGGTCATTTTTATTAACAAAACTGTGCCCTCTCCTCTCCAGTGCCCCTCTCATTCTCCCTTCCTTTAGATTAGATATGAGATAGGCCAATATGAGCCAGCAACGACCATGCAGATAAGAACTCTCTTAGTGCAGCTCTGACCACTGGCACTTCCTGCAATAATGGAGGTATTCAACCCTGCACTGTCCAAAAGAGCAACCACTGGTGACATGTGGCTATGGGGGACTTAAATTATAGCTAGCATATATTGAAATATATACTGAAATTTTAATTTAGTTAAATGCCAATAGCCATATGTGGCTAGTAGCAACTACACTGAACAATGCAGCCAGAGTAGATGGTTGAGAAATAAATGAAAGAAACTGGGGTTCTTGGATGACCTTGTGCAACAGAGCCACCTGTACTCACTCTTGACCATCTGTCCACCTCTGAACTATTATTGAGAAGTGAATAAAATTCTATCTTGTTTGAAGCCTTGAGGATTTGGGGTTCTCTTTGTTAACCGCAGTTAACTTGCAACCTAACTAAAAGGACATACTTCTATCCATTCACAATAGAAAAGAATATCTTAGTGCTTGGTCTATAAAAAAGATATTAAAGGGGAAAAACGGTGATAAGTTCTTACAAGTAATTTAAAAATCAGTCTTAAAAAGTCTATTTCAAATGTTCTGCTTTATTGTTATGGTGGATATATTGATTTAAACAATATGGAATAAATTATTTTTACTCATTTGAATAAGATAAATAATCCACTTAATAAATTTAGAAAAGTTTCATCACTGGAAAGCTCAATTCTTTTTTAAAGTTATGAAATCACATTTAAATTTTATATCTAGAAGGAGTTTGAGTATTATTACTTAGCTAGGCATATTTAAAATTGACTAAAAATATAAAAACACAAATATAAAATCTAAAGAAATAAAATATACCTTTGGCAATTTACTTTGTATTTATCATTTGCTGCATTTCTTTGAAAGTCTGCTTACAATAAGTAAAATGGCACTAAACGTGATAGTTAAGTTTACAAACACTTAAAAAGGATATTAATACTTTAGCTTCAGGGAGGTTTTTGTTGTTCTTGTTAGTAGATGAATGTTATCAATACAGAGCATCATAAGGAAATGTTCTTTATCTCTTAAATACTGTACCTATTTTGACCAACAGACTAAGTTATATAGTTTTTCTTCCTTTAAATATCTAGATATATTTATATAGTAATAACATTAAAAAGCAGACTGAAGTCCTTCATGGTTTAATCAAATAGCAGTTTCCATTTTTACCACTACTCTCAAGTTTAAGCATCAATACATCAAACCTACATTTCAAAAACAACCTCACTAATTGGTGTCTTTACTTTCTGTCTCTTCTGTAGACCAACCTATACTGCCTTCCATGACTAGATTAATCTTCCTAAGTATCTTTTTAATCATATCAACTCCTTGTTCAAAAATACTCATTGAGTCCCCATCACCTGCATATAAAGAATCCTTAGTCTAGCAGTCAAGATCCTTCAGCTGGCCCTAATACTAATCCTCTTATGTGAGCAACTTACTCCAAAGTCCAAAAACAGATTGTCCATTTCCATCATTACAACCTTACCTCCACCAATCCCTCTCTTTTAGGGCTTTTTATTTCCTTCCAAGCTCATCTCTAAACCCACCTCCTTTAAGAACCTTTTTTTAAAGAAAAAAAAAATGTATTTTTATTATTGATTTTTTAGAGAAAGAGAAAGGAAGAGAGAGATAGAAACATTGATGTGAAAGAGAAATATTCATCGGCTTCCTCCTGCACACCCCACACTGGGGATCAAGCCCACAAGCGGGGCATGTGCCCTGACCTAGAATCAAAACGGGATCACTCAGTCCACACATGGGACGACACTCAATCCACTGAGCCACATCAGTTGGGCTCTAAAAACCTCAAATTATCATCAGCCCAAAATGACCTCACCTTTCTTGAAACTCTCATACTACTTTTTGCATGTAAATTTATGCTTTTTTATAAGTAATATAAAAGTTTTATACTTCTGTGTATATGCCAATGCTCTACATATTAAATGAACGTGGAGAAGCTACTGTCAGACTGGTTTACATTTATTGCTTCAGATGTATGTTTTAAACAACTAAATGCAAATTCTGTTTAAATCAGATACTATCAACACATTACCAATTTAGAAAAACACAATTTTTTTTCACTATTAGGTAACTTGCAGTTATTCAGTGATCTGGATATGAGTAAGGGAAAAAGACTATTTATAAAGGTAATTTAGAATGAAAATCATACTTTTAACATCTATGTTCTTTTGCATTAAATAACAAAAGATATTACTGGTTATAATTAAATCATAACACTAACTAAAACTCTGTAAAACTCATATATAGTCTGACATTTTGGGTTGAACCAGTATCTCAACAACTTTATTCTTACTTTACACAGGGATTATTTGAGTCACATAACACATCTGTTTCAATAGTTATTATTAAGTATTATTAGTTTCAATTGATAAATGAAAATGTGGCTAAGGGTGGTTACGTTAATTGACCTAGGTCATACAGCTGATAAACCAGAATTAAAGTCCTTTCTAGTTACTAAAATTAATTTAGTATAAACAAGTATCTCCATTTATTTCAATATGTTATATAATTCTTTGAAATGCACTGAGAATTACAGAAAATAAATCCATTACTAAAATAATGTGCTTAATTAAAAATCTAACTTAATATATGTTAACAATCCTTCAGCAACTCAACAAATTATGTAAACCTCAGCTCTTTCCCAAGACAAATTTGAAAGGTCAAATAGCTGATTTCTCCTCACTCTGATAAATAATAAGCTGTAAAAAGGATAAGACCATCACATTACCTCCCCATTAGACCATTTAATCTCTGAATTATGTAGGGCCATGTGATTATTAAAACAAACATAAGATAGTCTACAAATAAGACTATCTATAAATTTCTTCCAAACTGGGCCACTTTTGAGACTAAAAGGGGCCAGGACAAAAGGCATTAATTGGGGCTATCCCAGGTAAAGTGGGATGTAGATCAGCCCACCTATAAAGCAGAAGTATTTAGTACTTTTAATCCCTGAACATTCATAGTACCAAACAGAAAACCCTGCTAACCCTCAAGGGCTGTGAAGTCCAGCAGGACACCTTTGTGCTCCACTCACCTTTGTGAGTCAGTGTAACAGCCAAAGTCACCACAACTGTCCTATCATCTTCATATTTACCCTCTTAACAACCTGCTGCTTTTAGTGTCTTTTCAAAAAGTGTACACCCAGCCAGTGTGGCTCAGTGGACTGAGTGTAGTCCCATGGACTGAGAGGTCCCAGTCCGATTCCCAGTCAGGGCACATGCTCAGGTTGCAGGCCCTATCTCTAGTAGGGGGCGTGCAGGAGGCAGCTGATCAATGTTTCTCTCTCACATGGACATTTCTCTCTATTTTAAAAAAATCAATAAAAACATATTTATAAAAAAAAAAAAAACAGAAGCCCTGGCCGGTTTGGCTCAGTGGTTAGAGCATCGGCCTACAGTCCAGAGAGACCCAGGTTCGGTTCCCGCTAAGGGCACGTACCTTGGTTGCAGTTTGTCCCTGGTCCTGGTTGGGTCGTGCGGGTGGCAGCCACTCGATGTGTCCCTTTCATGTCGATGTTTCTCTCTCTCTCTCGTCCTCTTTCTCCCTCCCACTCTGTCTGAACAAGAAATTAAAAGATGTCTTTGGGTGAGGATTTAAAAAAAAAGTTTACAGAAATTAAAACAGCAATCAAATTTAAGGCGGCTACTAATTCTGTATCATTTCTAACTTAATTTTTTATAATGCCTGATCCCATAGAGTTGATTAGAAACATCAAGTACGTAATTTAAAAACACAGCAAGGTTTTCATTACCTTAAAAATATTTTTCTTTTATTATCAGATTTTATTATTACACAAACAAATCTACAAGATTATTGCTTAAAGTGCAAGGAAAATATGGATATATTGACATGGTCTAGGCATCATTAACATTCTGATAATCCATTTAAATCAGTTTCTCATAGAAATCATTGTATCATTTTTAAAGACATTTTAATTTAAAATGCTAGCTGCTGCTGAGGCAGGGCCTAAAGATGTAGCAATTCTAGTTTGGGAACAGCACAATTCAGGTCTCAGTTTGGGCTCTGAGTACAGTGATACCTCGGTTCTCGAACGCCTCGGTTTTCGACCAAATGGAGATTCGAGAAACTTTTGTCTCAGAATCCGAACAAATATTTGGAACTCGAACTTCCGAGATGAGCCGAGTTGAGCCGAATGGCGTTCATTCGGCCCAGCGCGCCTTGCTTGCGTCATCAGTGTGAGTGCAGAGAGAGAGTCACGCTTTGTGGAGTCACGCTTTCCTATTGGTTTCATTGCTTCGGTTCTCGAACAATTCGGTTCTCGACCGTCCTCCTGGAACGAATTATGTTCGAGAACCGAGGTATCACTCGTATCTTAAAACCCAATATTATCAGTGTGCCAACTATATCAGACCAGATTTCAGAATGAAGACACAAAAATAAAATTGATGGGAGATTTTCTTACTTGACCAATGTTGGATAAACATGAACAAATCTTCTTTGGCCTCTCACAATCCATGCTGAAAAGTTTTCTGTTAATAGTCTTTATTTGTAAAGCTATGAAATAAATGATTAGGTAACAGTAGCTATAGACCTAATTCAGTCATGCATCCTAGTCACTATAATTAAACTATCACCTTTCTCAAATCTAAGCAACAGTCTACAAAACTATCTCTAAGGATGCATTCATTTTGCATAAGGCCAATTTTATCCACAGTCACACACTGAGAGTGAGACTAATACAAACTCTCCATGCACCTGAGGGAACTTTATTAAAGGCTCTGTATCAGAACTGCCCCATAGCACAACTCCAGAGAGCATCACTCACATACACAAAGCCTGAACACTGATATGCAGCCAGCCTTGGCTATATGCACTCAATTTATATACAAAGTTGGGAATAAAAGTATATATCTTAAAATTTATTCTGAGAATTAAATAAGAATTATATAAAGTGGCTAGCACAATCAGGGGCATATAATGGAAATTTCATAAGTGGAAGTCACGTGTGTCATGACCTTAATCCAAGGGGGAGACGAACATTTATATTATGATGAAGGTAATCGCAGAGGCACTCGTACCCTTACTTTTGGCTTTCATCTATTATCCAAGTTAGAGATGTGTTCCTTTTTCTGTCACAATATGTATAATGCAAAGCAAAAGTCAATACTTTCATTCATCTCTAAAACCATTTATTCCATAAAGTATTTTACGTACTTGCACTACTTCTCTTTACAACTTTGTTACTAACGGCTCTCAAGAAATTCTATAATTATATTTTATAGTACTTATCAGTTAGAATTAAGTACCACTGTGAACATCTTCTTTAATTCTGACTCTTCTAATTGATGTAAGTTCTATGAGCAATCTTAAGTCTTGCCTATACATCCTCACTGCCCTGCATTACAGGCATCCAACAAATAATAATAAGGTGGAAAGAAATGAATGATTCAAAAATCTCATATTTAAATTCTCGATGCTTCAACTAATTTTCACTGGAGTTCTCTGAAATATGTTACATCCACTTAAAAAATGCCTCAAACTCTATTAATATAATAAATAAAACTCGAACACTCCCTTTTCCCTTTCTAGTCCTTTTCTAAATCCTTAACTACTTAAAAAAATGAAGATCTTAATATTTAAGCACCTGAAAACAAGTCAAAATGATTTTTCTCTATTCTATCACCTTACATCCAAAAAATGACAGGGTCTATGCCATCAATGCCTTGAGACAAACCTTCCTAACTTCAGCGAAATCGTGATTAGCATACCTTAATTCATTACTTGTATTCTCCATCTTCTTCCCTCCACTGGTATGCTACATTTTAGTATAATGGTTCCACACATTCCAAATCCTATTCAGGAATGGCACCTTGTCAAATAAAGCCTAATCTCATCAACATTAACCAGTCCTCAATATCACCATAATAGGACATTTAAAATGATAGGTAACATCAGTGTCTGGCTGTAGCTTACTACAGACCCACACTTCCACTGAGAACTAAAGTAACCTGATGAAAGGGAAAAGAATAAAAATGGATGAAGGCATCAATGAACTGCTAAGGCAAACAGGACTTGAAGAACCAAGGTCCTGAAGAAGAGGGAAGAGAGGAGAGAGAGATCAAAACTTTGCAGCCATTTTTCCCTTTTCCTATTTACCAATTCTGGACACAGAGCATGAGAATAAGGATCTGGGTAAGGTGAGACAATAGAAAACATACAGCAAGATAGCAGATATAAAACTAAATAGATTTGGTGGCATCAGCGAAAATGGCATTCAGAAGTTCCAAAAAATTTCCCCTCTATAATAGCAACAAGAAAACTGACCACAAACATGTCAAAAATAAAAATAAAAGAGACAAATATGTGAGGTAATGGATATGTTAATTAACACAATTGTGGGAATCTTTTCACAATGCATATGTATACATCAAATCATCACAATGTACACTTTAAATATATTATAATTTTATTTGTCAATTATACCTCCAAAAAAAAGTTTAAAAAAATTAAAACTATGTTATGTTCAGTGAAAATACGGTAATATTTTACTGTGTACATTAAATATTATTTTTTCCAAATTTAGTACTTTACCTTGTAGATCAATGTTTTATGATAATATCCCTTTAATTCATAACCACAATAAGGATCAGATACTCAAATTACAATGAAACACTTTGACTAAAAACAGGTGTAAAATAAATTGCTACAACTACAAAAATATTAAATTGAAATGTGTAAAAAAAAGGCATTTCTAAAACGTATTTTAAAATAGACCTACTTATCCCAACCAAGAATTCCTATCTCTTCAATAAGGCTTGAGTAGTACTGGGGAGGAGGAGGTAGTGCATGTATCTCTTGTTTATTCTTTAAAGCAACTTCCTGTTTAAAAGAAAAAAACTTGAATCAGCTGTGGAATACTGGACAATGAATTCTTAGTACCTGATTACACAACACAATTTTATAATCTTTGTTCCTAACTAAAGTGTCCAGCTGAATCTTTCTACTTCTCATTAAAAAAAGAGACATGAAAAAGTTAAAGGACTAAACTGAAAATCATATAAAAATGTTAGTTATTATACCTTCAATCTGAAGAAATTAATATTCTTCTAGACTATTATGCCTATCAAAGATGAAAAAAAGTTTTAAAAAATATTCATCCCCAAGGGTTCACCACTATCTTACTACTCCTGTGGACATAATGTTTGATAGAAAGAAACAGGTACCTTTAAAGAAAAGCCTAAACTCTAAGTACACTGCCTAGATTGATATATTTGTATACCATTATGAATCACCTTATAAACAAAAACCCTTCATTATAACAATAAATACTTACCTGCTAATTTCTTTTTTCATTCTTTACAACTTGCAGACTGGGTAAATCCAAATGTTTTGCCATCTGGCTAGATCACAGTTCCTTTTTCTGCTAGGCTCACATATGATATCTTTAAGACAGTTTATGTTCTCCCAAACAAAACTAAACTTACGTTTTTAGAAGCAATAGAACATCACTAGAATTGCTGAGGCCAAAAATTACCAATTACTTCAAAGGTGCTAACCTAGACAAGTGTCTTATTTGGAAGTAAAAAAATTTTATTTACAAATTACATAGATGTTCATATGGTCCAAATTATCAAAAGGTATTCTAAAAACTAAAGAAATGCAATTTAAAAAGATATTTGATACCATAAATAACAAAACCATACGGAAACAAGCATAAAAGTTATAAATGTTTCTGGTAAATGTAACCTTAATAAAAGGTATAAAATTTAATCCTTTAAGTGTATGCTTAATTTGTTAGTCCTTATACTGTTTTGTTTTTTTTTAACAAGGATAAAATACTATCAAATTAAGGTAACACTAGAAACAGATTTTACAAAACAGTATTTCAAAGTCAGAACTACTATTAACTGAAAATACTTTAATAAAGTTCTAAATCTATTTTATGATAAAAAAATAAAATTAAAATTAGAAAACCCTGTGAAATCAGGTTTGTAAAGCCCAGAATATCAATTTGGATTTAATTAGAAGGTAAACTCCTAAAAGACAAGGAGAATATTGCCCTTTTTACAAACTAAATATCTATTATCTGTAAATAGCCCGATAGTCCATAAAAATGAATCTGTATTATTAAGTTAACCTGTTTCTAAAAAAATACATAAGTCAGTACAGTTCCTGTACTTTTACATATAATAGCTATACAGTATTTCCTTTGAAATTTCTATTTTTATTCAGAAAGATTAATTAGTGCTACCCACAAATGCGGAAAGTAAAAAGAAACTTGGATAATAATAAAAAGTGTTCTAATCCTAAATTTATGACATTTGTAAATTCTGCCTTTTATCGTAGATCAGATAAGTTACTCCTATTCTAGAACCATAACAGCAAAAAAGGCAAAGGCAGAGAGGCAAAGCATTCTTCATGGAGAAGGACTCAAAGGTGTGTAGTAGAAAGAACACAGGCTTTGCACACAGAGGCTTTAAATCCTAATTTGAATATTTCCTAGTTTTGAGGTTTTAGGTAGTTAATGACTCAGCTCTAAAATAGGAACAAAATAATCTATACTTGATACAATTTTTTTTAATATGGGTTATTGTTCACTTATTAAATATATACAGAACACCTACTATATGCCCAGCTATTACTAGGAAACTCCGTGGGAGATTTATAAAATTTCCTGAGTAAATTCAGTAACTACTGATTTCATTTGGGTATCAATACTTTTATCAGTGCTTATATTATGGGAACCCTATTACTGACAACACACCTCAACAAATAAACTAGTAATCCTTCCATTTTCAGGTATGTTGTCATAAATGTGTAATAATATCACCAACACTATACATAATTTCTTTAGAAAGCTAAAAAAACAGGATCTCATTTTATTCAAAGTTGCAGTAACAAATGTACTAAAAAGGGTATCATGACTCTGAAATTAATTAATTTTTTTTTTAAAGAGGGAACATGGTAGACTGCAGTTTTGTTTTGTTTTTAAATCCTCATCCGAGGATATATTTTTATTGATTTTAGAGAGAGAGGAAAGAAAAGGGAGAGAGAGAAAAACATCAATTTGAGAGAGAAACATCAACGGCTGCCTCCTATATGCACCCCAACTGGAGACTGACGAGGATGGATCCCGCTACCTGGATATGTACAATGAATGGGAATTGAACCCACAACCCTTCAGTACACAGGATGACCCTCTAGCCAGCTGAACCACAACAAGAAGTCAATATTTTTAGTTTTGAATTAATTATTGTTTCTTCAAAATTAAATGACCAATAGACCAAAAAAACCCAACAATTATGTTAATACTAGAAACCAAGATTTTCACAGCAAGATAAAAAAGATACAGGAATTACAAAAACAATCAAAGCTTATGCAATATGGTAATAGTGTTAGAAAACAAATACTTACTAAAACCATCTTTAACTCCATCATAAAGCTCATCAGATCAGGAGAGTGCTTCATTCTCTAAATCAAAATAACACTTCCAATTAATTTCACTTATACAATGAATATTCCCTTCACTAAAACTGAAATACAATGCAGATCCTTGTGAATGTGAAAAAAATATAAAGTATAAGAATTGGAATATTGGTCATCATCCTTATTATTCCTACCAATTTCATTTTGAAAGAATAATTCAGGCTTAAAATCTACTCTGGCAAGATACCGAACTGAATAAAAATGTCACTTAAAACTTCACACACTTCTCTCTTCCTTTAGCACTGATTACTGTTAAGTTTAGCAAATCTAACAAAATACATGATTATTTTTTTAAGTGATATGGGAGTGAAGAAAGTGGAAATAGGGCCATAAGATATAAAATCTTATACAGGCAAATCTATACAACTAAAAAAAAGTAGAACAATGAATTAATAATTACTAATAATACTGTCCATTTTTATCTTTTATTGACCTTAAAGACCACCTATAATTATTACTTTTGTCCTTTCACAATTAATCCATATCAATTCAAAAGGAGTCCATCTTTCAATAAGGTAAAACCAATATAACAAAATGGCAAAAAACAGAAACAAAAAATACTTCTAAAGTAGAAAATGAGTATTTAAGAATCACAGTTCCACTTCTCAGAAATCATTCTTAAAATAACTGCACAAAAAAAGAAAGCAAAAAATATTCTCATTTAAAATCGTGTTCTCAGCTAAAACTCTGTATCATTTCTCTGCTTGAAATAAAAATATTGTATTTTTGTTACTTTTTGTGATGCACCGCACTTCAGCCACACAGTTCTGGACAAAGACAATATGTAAATTTGTTCCTTCTCTTTAGATACAAAAATAATAATCTAAGGTATGTCAGCAACTTAAGAGACATATGATTCACATCATAACACAGCTCTGAGTGGGTACATGTTTGTAGAACAATTCTATACAATATCTTCCTCCCTTGGTTTATTAGAAATGAGTAATAAATTATATCCAGGGTCTGCAAACTACTGTCCAGAGGCTAAATCCAGCCAATGCATGCTTTCGTGCTTAAATGCAGCTAAGCCATTTCTTGACTTCTTGTCATGGCTGCTGTTGCCATACAGGGCAGAGTTGAGTGGCTGCAACAGTTACCTTACAGTCCACAAAACCTGAAAAGTTTATTATCTGGTTGTCACTGAAAAATACTGCTGACACCCCAACCCATATTTATTAGTTTAAAATGATACAAGGAAAGGGTAGTAATATTCACATGGACTGTGGAATAAAACAAAGATTCAACTAACACTGGGTTCTACATGACCATTGGAGGGCAGAGAGGAGATTAAGTAATTGGGACTTTTTCTAGGAACCCTCTTGGTGAATTGGTAAAGAAAAACAGTTAGAGATCTTATTATTATACTTAGTCTTTGTTAACAAATTTTTTCAGGCTATTTAAATATTTCAATAGATTCATTTCTTAAACTTGAATATACAATATAGTCACAGGGAATGGGGAGGGAGCAATGGAGAAAAACAGAAAGAAATAATTTAAACATCCTCTTAAAAAACTGCTGTAATTATACTGCCAGCAATGACAGCCTACATTCTATAAATCAAATAGTTTATCTCCTATTATTTCTTTTTGGTTCAGTAATGCTTTATGTGAGAGTTTCTTTCATTGTCAGTTATCATAGATAATAACCTGCCTTTTAGATAGAGAAAATATAGGAGGGGAAAAACATACAAATGGATGCAGTTCTACTTAATTTATTTTTCTACAAGAGGCATTTCATTATTTCCTGTTGCTTCAGTAACAGTGATTTTTGTTTTTTAGTTTCTCTAATCTTTAAAGGAATTTTCAGGTAGAGGAACCTAAACATTAAGAATAACTAAAATGAGCCCTGGCTGGTTTGGCTCAGCAGTTTGAGCATCAGCCCTTGGACCAAAGAGTCACGGGTTCGATTCCAGTCAAGGGCTCGTACCTCAGTTGCAGTTCAGTCCCCGTCCCTGGTCGGGTCATGCAGGAGGCAACCAATCAATGTGTCTCTCTCACATTGATATTTTTCTCCTCCCTCCCTCCCTCTCTCTCTCTCCTACTCTGTCTGAAAATAAACAGATGCCCTGGCCAGTTTGGCTCAGCGGTTAGAGCGTCGGCCTGTGGTCCGGAGAGACCCAGGTTCGGTTCCCGCTAAGGGCACGTACTTCGGTTGCAGTTTGTCCCCGGCCCTGGTTGGTCGTGCGGGTGGCAGCCACTCGATGTGTCCCTTCACATCGATGTTTCTCTCTCTCTCCCTTCCTCTCTCTCCCCCCTGCTCTATCTGAACAAAAAATGGAAAAATATCCTCGGGTGAGGATAAAAAAAAAAAAAGAAAATAAATAGAAAAATATATCCTCAAGTGAGGATTAAAAAAAAAAAAGAATAACCAAACTGGGATGCAAGGGGTGTGCAAAATGGGTGAAGGTGATAGAAAGGTACAAATTTTTAGTTATAAAATAGTTTTTAAAAGAATAAATTAATCCTGCCTATATCTTACTGATGCAGCTTTTACAACTACTCCTATTATGTCCACCTACATGATCCTAAGTGATTCCCACACCTTTTCTGTTACTAATCTAGAACTATAATCCCATTTTTGTCACAGATATCCTACAACTCCTAAATGGGTCCTGGCATTTTTCACACCTCCACTATTCAGTCTTAGCAGAAAAATCACTCAAAAAGTGATGGATATGAAGAAGCGTGAATGCATTTGAAGACCCTAAAGTCTCAAGGATGGAAATCAGTTTCAACACCAATGGTGTATGAAAATGTGCTAAGGATTCTGAGACAAAAAACATTTTACATAATGTGTAGATCCTTAAAATATTTCAGAGATGAAAACTACAAAATTTAGGATATGGTTTGTTACAACATTCTGCAAAGTAAGTCTTTACAAAATAGTAAACTTAGTAGAATCTTATCCTTGCTTAAAACATAAACCTTTTAAATGACTTACCTGTTGTATTATTTGATGGTATCCACTGAGTATTGTCCTCAACTGCCAACTACATAGTAATCTAAAATTATAACGTAATAAAATAATGTGTTTATTGTTCAGAATAGGAAAAAACTTACATGTATGCTAACAAAAATAGGCACGAGCATAGAAAAGAATGACAAACATAGTTCTGACAAGTTAATAAAATTTTTACCACTTATAGAGTTGAAAGTCTTCAAACTGACAGTACTAATTTTATTTCAAAATACAAATAACTGCAATCAATAAATGACATGCTAACAGAACATCTTTTTTTCAAATTTTAACATAGCAAAGTTTTCTATTGAACTAGATTCTGTTCCAAGGTAGGTTAAATAAAACCAACAGTTTAAATTATAATATAAAGAACTTGTATTTGAGAAAGTATATGCAGCAATATAATCTTCAAATTCCAAAGTAATGTAACTAAAAGAATATAGACTTTTAATTGTGTTAGAGATAAGTTAATGTTCACTTATCTACTGGGTCACCTCAGCTGTGTTCTCTGGAGTCTTCCTCTCTCCCTACCCCTAGAGATATTTAGGAGCAGAAATGAGATGTTTGGGTGCTACATAAATTTCCAGTCTCGTCTCTTCACATTCCTTGACAGACTGTCTCTACCAATAGCCCACGGTGACACCTCAGTTATACCAGGACTGATAATATGGGTCTGGCCACAACACAGTTTTCTAATTCTAATTCTTTTGTATTCTCCCTTTATATACTTAAGTTCAATACTTGTTAGTGAAATTTACACAATTGCTCTTTACTACTTTAAATAAATTTTAAAAATTAGATTACTAATGTGTCACCTTTGGAAAGCACTTTCAGCACCAGGGAAAAACATTTACAAATGAACACTGACATGGTAAAATCAGAAATGACTAATAAGCATTTTAGGCAAAATTGTAATGACTAGAATCAGTTTATACCAGATTAACTGACTGCCCATCCCACAAAGATGTCATGTATAGAACAAAACACATCACCTTGCATTCTTCAGTTGCAAATCTTTGGGCAACAATATTTTAAGATGGAAATCTCTTCCCTGTGGAAAATATTGAAAAGGTTCAAATTTTCATCTTTCACTTAATGCTATGAGTTTCACTTAATTCTAGAATCACATAGAAAAGGCAATGCTGCCTTTATTTTCTAAAAGGTATCAACTTCATCCGAATGTTTATACCTATTAAAATATAAGCAACAGAATATTGCATTTGAGGGAAAATTACTGTCAGAAACTTTGTACTTATTGGGAAATCAAAATACTAAGATTTTTTTTCAAAGAGGCAGTCACTCACATAAACATAAAAACTAAAAGATATTGTTAATGTAGACATAAAGAAGATTTTTAAATGTTATTTCTTAGGAAATAGATTTATGAAAAAGAAAATGCCTTCAAATTTCTTTGAACATAGAAGAAAAAAATCACAATATTGATAAGTAAAATAGGAATATGTAATATATTGTAGGCTTCATATTTTCAATTATTTTATAAAATAACAATATGTTTAGTTAAATACACTAAATATAACAACATCAGGGAAATATTTTCATAAATCAAAATGTATTTAATGCTCCCAAACTTGCAGCCATTTAATAACTAAAACTGCTAACATATTACATTTTTTAATGTAATATTCACTAGCTGTGCATTTGAATATACCAAATTTTGCTCAAGTCTTTCTAAGGAACTATTTGTTCTCTGAGAAATATATTCAGTTTTACTTTCTTGAGAAAGTGAATGAGTAAGCAGCTTAAACTTTGTACCTTAAATAGGATAATACACATGAAATCTGAGCAAAGGTAAGCAGAAAAGGACAAACAGAATTATAATCTTTTACTCCAACAATATAAAATGAAAAAGAGTAATAAAATTCTCGAAAAACAATTACCACGAGAATTTTAGCACAATCTCCCTCAAAGCAGTTTCAAAAATAGAGGAACACAATTAAATGTACCCCATAACCTTTACTTTCATGGTAATATTACAGTTCTGACTTTCATTACATTTAAATGTCCTTTAAAAAAATGAAACAAAATGTACCACTGACCTTTTCAAAAGGTCAAGTAACAATAATTCACTATTTCATTAAAGCACAAAAAGGTATTATGTAGTAACTTTAACCTAACTTTATAGACATCCCACACATAGGTGTAAGAACAATCTGGAATTTAAAATTTACATGAAAAATAGTAAAACTTCTCTACTGATCTGTTATCTGAAAGAATAAAATTACAAAGTCCCTTATTTGCAAAATCCAGCCATTTTAAAAGGTCAAATCCCATGTCACATGCCATCATACTTTTCTGATTAAAGAAAATATCCAAATTAGTTTTTTTTTAGTTAATTGCTCTCAAGAAGGAGATTTCCCAGGTTTAGAGGAAACAAAAGTACTGATAGCTGCCTAAATGTGAACCTCTCCATACATCCTCCCAAAAAACTGTATAGGCCAATATTAAGAACAAAAATAAACCCCACAAAAATCTTGTCTTTAGCAAAATCAGAAGGGAGAGAATACTATAAATTTCAAGTTACCTATAGAAAAAAAATTATATAGAGACCACTTTCCAGTTGTTTCTACTCTGGGGCTCCCACAATGAGTCCTTTGAGACAGCTAGGGGGTTCAAAAAAATGCATGGAAGAGAGAAGAGGGTACTGAACCAAGTGCAAAAATAATAATAGTCTGACAGATGAGAATCTGGTAGAACACTGAATATAGGGAGAAGACTGAATGTGAACACAAAAGTTGAGGAGCTTGTTTTGAAAAAGAAATATAGGAATAGAAAATGGTAAAAAGGCAGGGAAGGAAATCCTTTGGAAACTGGGTGTTAGGATGAAAATTACGAGTTGCAAACTTAGGTTCTTTTATAACAAGATAAAAACACTCAACTCCTCCCTCAGCACTACCTAAAACATCCATTAAATAAACTGTACATTGCCTGACAGAAAAGGTTATCCTTGAACTAAGGATTTTATAACCTACTGCAAACAACCAAACTGTTCTCAAACTTAAAAAACTGTCTTCATCAATGCCACACTACTATGAAATGAGAACAGAATAAGAAGACTCAAAACATTTCCAGTGATGACAATCTGCCATGCAAACAAAAACTGAAGGCATAAACAAATTACAATACTGAGGTATATATGTTTGAGTGTTTTACACCCAGATTCAGAAATTCAAAAACCAAGAACAGAAATTTAAAAAAAAAAAATTAAGAAAAAGACAAGATGATATTAAAATGGAAAAATAAATTAATAGGTGTTCAAGAAAGAACAGAGTAAAATGAAAATTTCAGAAGAGGCAAATAGAAAGAAAATTACCAAATTTGGAAAAAAATTAAAGACCATCAGAGAAAAGAAACTGAAGTGAAAAGCAAGCAAAGGAGATCCAATCTACAAATGACTGGAAAACTTGAAAAGGAAAACAAAATAGTAGAAAAGAATATTTAAAATTATAATCCAAGTATACTTTCTGGAAATTCACATACTGAAAAGGACAACTGGATGCATGAGAAAAGTAACTCATAATGACCCACTCAGATGTATCTTAATGAACACACTTTAAAAATAAAGCAAAAAGTCCATAGTTTCTAAGAAAAAAGATCAAATAATTTATATGGGAAACAATAAGTTTGGCATCAGACTTCTCAACGCAAGATTTTTCTTTTTTTAAAAAAGCAACAATGGAATAGAATTTTTAAGAAAGAAACTAAAAGGAAATTTCTGCTTCTAGCCATGATGAGAGAGAGAAAGATAGAAAGAATTTATCTTCCCACATTAACTCGAAAATTGGACAAAATATGTATGAAACAATGATTTTCAGACATCAAACAACAGGCATTGTAGGACAGTGATACTTGAAAAAAAGGGAAACAAATGAAAAAATCTCTATAAATAGCCAATTTTATGGCCTGGAGAATATTCAGGCTGCAGGGCAAGGATGAGGAACAAAATAGAGCCCACATTCTCCCTGACTAAGAACACAGGGGTGAGTGCAGGATTCATAATGCACAGTATCAAAGAGGAAATATATGGGGAAGAAAGAACTCTAGAGAATAAACATAGAGAACGTCAGAGGATTCCTCAAGAGGAGTCTTCATCTAAGTAGTGATTGCTGCATGGATGTGAGAAAACCACCAAAAGCTGGGGAACCATGAGAATGGAGCATAAATCAGTCTTGGAGCTCACACAAGGCTGGGAGTAATCATGTTCCAATCAAAGTAGAAAATCTTGTACTATAAAAGCCAACAAATAGAAGAATGTTGCCTCAGTGGAAGAGCCAAATTAGTGTAGGCTAAAGTCTGTTCTGTGTCTGCCTAACAATGCTTAAAAGCAAACCTTGAAAACATAAAACTATTTCCAAGTAAATTAATTGCACCTTAGAATAAATCTCAAGAATATTTACAAGAATAAAAAGTATCTAGCATACAACAGGTAGAATGCACAATGTCTGGTATTCAATCAAAACATACCAGGTATGCAGAGAAGCAGGACAATAAGATTCATAATAATAAAAAATAAAAAATAAATCAAGAGAAGCAAATACAAAAATGGCCAATGATAGAACTGTTCTAAACTTTTAAATAGTTGTAACAATATTACATATATTCAAGAAGGTTGAGGAAAGCATGACTATGCTAAATAGACACAGGAAAGATATAAAGAAAGACCTAAATTTAAAAGATAAAAAATACAATATCTAAGATGAAAAATATTCTAGATGGTATTAACAGAAGATTAAACAAAAGAAGATATTACTGTACCTGAAACACAGAACTAGAACATCAAAAAATAAAAACAAAAAAGAGACTGTTAACAAAAAATGAACAGACCATTGATGACTTATGCAACAATTTAATTCGCCTAATATGCATGTATTTGGAGTACCCAATATAGACAAGAGAAAGAAAAAAAACAAAAAAATTTTTTGAAGAAATAATGGCTGAAGTTTTTCCAAATTAAATGAAAATACAATCTCACAAATCCAGAAAGAAAAAAACCAATAATGAAAAGAAAATTCTTAAAAGCAGCCAAAGGAAAAATAGTATACTACTTATAGAGAAACAAAGATAAGAAAAAAGAATTCTCAAGGAAAATAATGCAAGACAGCAAAGCAGCATCTTTAAAGCATTAAAGAAAAGTCAACCTAGGACCTTATACCCAGTGAAAGTATCTTTTAAAAACCCAAATAAACAATTTTTCAGACATGAAAGAATTAACCACCAGCCGACACTCACTACATGAAATATTAAAGGAAGAACCTCATAAAGATAGTAAATGAAATAAGATGGAAATCTGGTATATAACAGAGTACCAGAAACAGTTAGTGTACAAGTAAATATAAAGACTATTTTCCTTATTTAAAAAAAATATCTTTAAAGGATAATTGACAGTGACAAAGCTGAAACAGTCTGAGCAACAAATAAAGTAAGAATGGATTATAACCCAAAGTATAAAATAAATTTAATGTATCCATACTGTTATAAATAAGTGAATTAGTAAATGTGAGAGTTAAGCTAATCTCCCATGCAGAAGAATCCCAGATAAATTATATAGATAAGCCACCTTAAAGGAAGGGGAGCATAACTCCCCACTCCTTAATGGGGGCTACTATGGAAAGTGAGGGAAATTAACTTTATGGTAGAAAAACTAGACAAATGCCACTTAAGCCAAGTAAGTGATCAAGGTCAACATCAATAGCAATAAATCATATTGATAATCTGTAACTTTCATATGATGAAATGGTACTTAAACTATGATGTTCCTCTCAAAAACCCATAACCCTGGTCTAAGCATGAGAAGTTCCAGTAGAGTATCCTACAATATACTTAACTAGTACTTCTTAATAAAGAGGGTCATTTTATAATCACAAGGAGGTCAAAGTCATCAAAATCAAGGTAAGTCTAAGAAACCATCACAGCCAAGAGAAGCCTAAGAAGACATGATAATGTGGTATCTTGGATGAGATCCTGGAATGGAAAAAATTATTAGGTAAAAACCAAGAAAATCTGAATAAAGTATGGACTTGAGTTAATAATAATGTACCAGTATTGGTTCATTAATTGTAACAAATGCACTATTCTA